TGACATTTTTAACTTAGCTGGATACACAGGAACACAAAACAACTGCAACTACACTGTACTGAAAATCGTTTAAGTTTTACGTGCACAAGCGTTTGAGTCAGATGTCTGTGGTCCCTATTCTAGAGACAGGGGAGAAACGTTCTCATGAGAACGAAGGTTCTGTCTTCGTCACCCATATTCATATTTCCATAACACTAACAAAGACAGAGCAATCGTTCTCATGAGAACGCTATTCCCCGGTTTTGAAAATAGACATCCAGAGGTGCTTTCCAGTGACCCATTTGAGTTACTCCTGAGCAGCTCAGGAGTGCTCCACAATTGCTTTGCGCGTTCCAGTGCTTAGAGTGTCGTACACTTGAGCTACTCATTTCTGTTATCCCCTGCCCCCTCGTGCACCAACCCTTTTGTCTGTGTTTCATGCTCCTGAAAGCCGAAATGGTGGGGGTTAAGACGAGAGCGTTCCAGTGCTGCTTATGTCGAACAGTTCAAGAGCGTCACACTTCAGGAGCATGATACTCTTAACAATTTAGGCTCTGGAAAGCGGCTCTGATAGACTCGGGGATTCGCCAATCTAGTTGAAGGAGCAGCCAAACTCAAACATAACCAAACTTTAGCCGCTTTCTTTTTTTCCATCGAGCTATTCTCCATTATGAGTAAGTCATCTTGATTTCCTATGTACTAGAAAGAGATAGACTGCTCATCTGTAGGTTCGCCGGTGAAAAAAGAATGCGCCTTTTCAAATTATTAGCTTTGTTCGCGGGTCCGATTCCGAATCGGTTCAGGGACTATTCGCATGCGCAGTGTAAAAAGTGGCGTTCGCGGATAATAAAATTCTGAATTTTTATTAACAGTTCTACGTTCGCGGATCACATAGAATTGGTTTTAATTGATTCGGAATCGGTTCTAGCAGTCCCAGGATTTTTGTTAGGACTAAAAGTTCGGTTCGGCTGATCATGCGCAATTTCGTCAGACTTGTCAACTGACTGGTGTTTATTTTTGTTTGCGTTATTGAAATTTGGGTTTTTTAATTGTTTATACGCTGAAGCGATAAACTATACGCTAGTTTTTTCCTACGGAGTTTATAGTTTACTGAATTTGCTGTACAGTATTGTAAGTTACTTATCTCTATTTAATCTAATATATTTATTAATATGCACAATTTTAGTGATTTTTTTTCATCTAAGTACCTACTAGTCGGACCATTTGTCATCTACCGATGAGGACAAGGCAGAATTAGAGCTTGATTAAGTTCCTAAAAGCAATGTAATTAAAGTGATGCCATATTTCAGGGATGAACAATGTATAGATCATTTTTGAATTTTGAATAAATATAAATATTATATCTGTTCTGTTATTCTTTTTGATTTATGGAAATCAAATAGCTAATAAGGTTCACAAATCACATAATGTTAAAAGTATTCAGTTTTCGGATCCAAAATCGTTCGCGGTAAATAAAAATCCTGAACCGATTCTTAACTAGGCATGCGCTCTACGACAATCCCGAATTAGTTCTGAACCAATTCGGAATCGGACCCGCGAACAAAGCTAACGAGCTAAAAAAGGAACGACGAAATCTGTGGATTGAATGCCTCAAAAGGAGAGATTTAACTGAAACGTTTCTGAAAAATGCTCGTATTTGTTCAAAACATTTTGTTAATGGTAAGTATTATGACTGTCTTGTTGTTAAAATACAAAAACACATTTATATCGAAAAATTGGTTTGTTTCTACAAGTAATATTTACTTTTAATACCTTTTAGGTAGTCCAGCAGAACTTGAATAACCCTTTATACGCCTTCAACTGCAAGCCTGTGTAGTAACTGTGGGTGTGGGTCAAATATTCGGATAAATCCAAAATTGAAACCTCTGGCAACTCATTGATACTTAAAGTAAACTCATTAGGTAGAAGTTTATAAGGATCTATATTGGCAATTATTTGTATTTTTTGGTCATACCGACATTTCACATCACTAGCTAACGATGAATAATAGTCAATGTTAGCCATTCTACCACAAAAACAACTTAAAACTTATTGAAAGAATTTAAGAACGAAAAAATTCGGAAACACAATCTGAAAGAACGGTGTAAATACTGATCTAGGCTTTGTTTGCCCCCCAGCGGACCTGTCAAAGTCACGTGACCTGGAATGCCTAATGTATTAATTTTTGAACTAGGAACCCGCGCCAATTTGCGATTCTAACCTAACTAATATCATCAATTGCAGAAAACTGTCGATCCGGCGGTCCGGTCCGGTTAGGAGCCGGAATTCCCGTTCCGGCCGGATCGGCCAAATACCCGATCCGGTACATCCCTAGTTATGACCTTTCAAAGTTTTCCAAAATCTAAATCATAAGGCTACCTTCTTACTAAAACAATGAAATTTCAATTTTTTTTTTGTTGAGATTTTGTGTCCTAATGGTCATTTGGGATCCCCCAAACTCCATGCACTAAATTATTCTCAGATTTGAAGCCGAAATCTATGAAAAAAGGCACTCAGAAAAATTGAAAAATTGATAAATCACCCCAAATTGCTTAACACGATTTTATCTCAGGAACTATAAGTCAAAATCAGCTGAAATTTTCAGAGATTGTAGTCCTCTACTGGTATAAGAATCGCCGAAAATTTCAGCTTTCTATCTTAAATAGAAAAAAAAGTTATGACCTTTCAAAGTTTTCCAAAATCTAAATCATAAGGTTCCTTCTTACTAAAACAATGAAATTTCAAATTTTTTTTTGTTGAGATTTTGTGTCCTAATGGTCATTTGGGATCCCCCAAACTCCATACACTAAATTATTCTCAGATTTGAAGCCAAAATCTATGAAAAACAACAGCAAAAAGTTTGCAGTTCCTCAAAATAAAACCCAGCATGTTGAATGCCTTCACTGTGACATAATTTATATGCTCCACAAATATTAAATTTTCATCAAATATAACTCCCAAGTCTTTTATTTTCAAAACATAATTTAGAGGCAGCCTATCCAAGGAGTAGGCAGTGTCGAACTTAAGGTTTAAAGTCAACCCCCATTTTCTGAACCTTGTGTTCAAAAATTCCAAAAAAAATATATGTTTTATGGTTATTGATATTCTTTTAATCCATAATTTTTTTAAGCAAATTTGACTCGCCATTTTTGAGTTATATCGCAAAAACTGAAAAAAGTGGTTTTTCACCATTTATTTCAAAACGAATAGATGAAGTTTCCCGTTATTTTTATTACGAACTACTATTGCAATTCTACGCGACATATATTTTTTTCAAATTGCTGTAATAAACTATAGGCCTGACTTTAAACCTTAAGGTACGGTTTGTTAGGAGAGTACGCGTCGCACAACTGACAACGTAAACGTCGTCATTGGTTCAGGTATGACCATAGGTATGACTTACACCCGTTTTCTCACATCAGAAGACGGGTGTACGTCATACCTGAACCAATGACGACGTTTACGTTGTCAGTTGTGCGTCGCGTACTATCCTAACAAACCGTACCTTTTAAGGCCGAAACCCACTAGCAACACGCCACGTCATGCTTCGCCACGCCACGCCATGTGACGAAAATGTATGCGTATATTTTTCCATTTATTTATATGTGCTGCGTACACACTTGCCATACACGATACCACGCCATGGCACGCCACGCCATCCGTCCATTTGCACACAAACTGTCCCACGTGAACCTGTGTCACATAGCGTGGGGTGGCGTGGCGTGTTGCTAGTGGGTTTCGACCTTAACGCTTTGCCTTGAAGTCATCAGCGAACCACTCAGTGAACGATAAGCCATCACTATTCTGAAGACAGTCAAATATAAAGTCTGTTTTTTTTTTAAAGATAATTCCCCAAGTCAAAAATTTAGTAAAGTATCAAATTAATTTGTAGTCAGGCATCCTCCCAATCCACACTAGCTAAAAAATTATTGAGCTCAAAGTAATTAGCATTTGTAAAGTCATAGTAAAAATCTTGTTAAAATAAATTGGATTCCTGTTTTCCATTTAAATTTTATATAACAATTTCATACCTAACATGGTGAAAACTATCATCTAATATTGGGTCCTTAGCTCAACCTACTTCCACACTACTGTCATTAGAAAACATGAGATCTAACAATACATTTCTGTTGTTAGGAATATTAATTACTTTATTACACCATACGATGTACCTGAGCAATTAACTTGAACTCCATATCCATCATTCGACCAACAAACTTCTGGTAGATTATAATCGCCAAAAAAATAAATTTTCTGAGAGTTTTGGAGGTGTAATACATTCTCGAATGCCTCACTATGAGCTATGTAGTAAGTTGTTTCTGGCATGTTAGGAGGAATGTATACCCCAGCTATAATAAATTTAGACCCGTTATAAGCACATGAGATAAATGCATGCTCTCCTGGTTCACTTGAATTCGGCTAGTTGAAATTTTCTTGTTAAGAAAAATCAGAACCCCGCCACCACTGGACTTTAAAGTTAGAGCACTCCACACCATTCACAGCCCCATTTCTAAATTTTTCCATAAATAAATACTGTGTGTTTTCGCCACAGTACATTGTAAGTACATGGCCTGTTTATGGAATTCCCATTTAATTATTTGTTTTTATATCAATTACATTCAAAATACACTAATCCAAACTCTAAAGTAAATTTAGATATGCATTAAAAATTTAAACTAATATGCCACTTCTCGTAATTCCTGTTACATGCTTATGTAGTCATTTTTACGAATTATGTTTACCTAATTTGGCAACTGGGAATCACCACTTTTTTACGTAGCCACTTGGAATTGTCGCAAATGCAGCAATTTCAATAAAAATTGATATTAATCTATTGATATTAATAGCCAAAATTTCCCCTGCTTTATGAAATTATGTTACGCATTTTTTTGAGGAAATATTTATTAGGTACCTAATTAAATATTGCCTTTAAGTAGACTGCGAAAAGTTTGAAAATATCTTGTAATGACTCAATACATTTCTTTTATAGTCATTCGCAGAAATGTAATTTCTTATAAATAATGATTTCACAATATGTGACAAGGTAAAGTTTGGGGATTTTGAGTACCTCATTTGAAAATTTTGTTATTTATTGATCTGGATAGGTGTGGAAATTTACACCAATCACTGCTTATTGAGTCATGTAAAATATGTATATTGTATGTTTGTTCATTTGGCATTTTCCATAGTTAATGCTATAGTAAAACGAGTAGTAAAAGTATGCGCATCTGCTTTTATTTAAAAATGGAAAAAAGGCAAATGCCTCAATTCCCACTAATAAAAAATGCTTCATTTGTGAGTAGAGGTAGCAAATTCTTCATAACTATTGAACAGAAAAAAAAGCACATGCATGGAAAACATAATCGTAGTTAGTTACCCTCTGCAATAACAACTTTTTTGGTGTCTGTTCATATTACAACTATTTAAATCTGGATTTACTTTTGGCAAGTGTGTGTAAGAAACTTGCAAATAGCATTTTTATTACATCATGTATCTTCAATGTTTTAGAAACAACAACAAACAACGTTTTCGATCGTATTTTCAACCAGATGTGAGTTCCCTTGTACTTCCTTATGAAAAACATTCCAATTTTTTTCATTATCATTTCAACTTTGTTCACGATTGTTAACCTCAGTATACATAATAGTAAAAGCGTTAATTTTATTTTGCATTAAAAGGTAATCTGACCAATAAAGACAAAAACTTTAACTTCAATTTTTTTTTCAGGCCCATACATGAAGCAGTAATAAACAACAATATTTCGATGGTAAAGCAACAATGTGTAACTTTGAGGATCAGAAGACAGTCCGTTAACTTGAAAAACCACAGTGGCTGTGTAAGTTATTTATTCAATTTTCAAATGTACCTTTCAAAAAAATCCATTAGAAAATGTACAAACATTTGAGCCTTGAATCCCAAGTCCAGTTTCTATCAAGTCTCACTATTGTTCAAGCTTGGAGATAGGACAAAGTCTAGTGAAACTCCGGACATTTGTAGTAAAGTGTATGTAAAACTTGCAAGAAATCAAGTTGAGTCAAGATTTGAGTGATAGATTTTATTTGGATCATAAAGTTTGCCTTTTTGTTCTCTATTAATTAAAATACCATTTGAAGACTCTAGATGCGGTGTACATACAAAAACTTATTTTCATTAAATCCCATAAAATTATAAATTTCTCTACTTTATTCAAGGTAATATGACAAAGCAATATTTCTAAATCCTATTTACAAATGAAAATCATATTATTCCATGGAAAATATCATTCTGACTAAAATAGAATCAAGAGAAATTGAGAGTGGGTATTTACCTAGATAGATAATGAAACCAAAAAAATTCTTTGTAAAATTTTTGATAAAAATTTATTTAGGCTGATAAGGCTTCTGAAAAAAAATCATTATCTAATAATGTACCTTGTACCTGTCAGGTTTTTTTTGGGTTGGACCGGGATTCACATTTAAAAATTACCCAATTAATAGGAAATTGTTCAACTTCGGCCCAATTTACCTTGATAAACTGTTATTCTTTCAAATACATTTGAAAATTTCCTTTTAGAATTACATCAACACAAACAACAATCTGTTTACCTTAACAACATTCTCATGTATTGATAATAATTTTATTTCCTTTACTATATTTACGCAGCTGGGTTTATAAACTTACTGTTATCAGTATTTCCAAGTATTTGCACAAATTTTCTCAGAACCTACCTACGCATAGAATCCTGATATTAAATTTACAAGTCCGATATTTTAGATTATTAGGGTTTGTAATCCAATAGAAATTCTGGCCCAAAAAATTACCGTATTTGTCTCTTGAATCCTAGAATTTAATTATATTTTTATTGCTTAACCAACCAACCATTATTTGGAGCAAAATTGAATGGGTATACTATACAATGGTTTTTAAAGAAATTGGAACTAGTATGTATGAGAAAGTCAAGTCAGAGTTGAATAATTGAAGTAAGGATTATCAAGCATTTATTATTTTTCCACTTATTTCTCGCTTTCAGTAACGTTTATAAAGATCATTAACCTGATTTTTCTATACACGGTTTCCTCTGAACGAAACTTGAGGAACTTCTTCTCACTTCATTACATTTTTTTCTTTTCGATTAAGAAAATTGGTAAAGTGTCTGTTGAATTTTTTTGTATGTTTGATGTTTATATATTAATTTTTTAATTTCAATTATTCATTAAATCCCACATTTCTCTTGTTAAACAAATAATTATTATGGAGATGCTTTACTATTATATTATATCAAGTTTCCTGACCTTGTTTTTGAAAATGTATGTCAGTAAAATGATAATGGGTATTTAAAAAATAAATAGGAAATAGTGGATGGGTTTTGAATTTTAAAATAGTTCTATAAAAAAATTATCTTAGCTCAGAAACACTGTGCCATTTGTTTGTTTAATTTATTTTCACTAGTATTGACCTCGGCTGTAAAACAATGGCAACCATTGGAACATGGGGGGTTTCCCTTTAAGCAATTCCAGTTATTCCGTCTATTTTTATCCAAATAAACCATTAAAACCAGTATCTTTATCTTTTTCAGACTTCCCTTCAACTGGCCATCATTCACAATGCCGACATACAAATAGTTGAAATGCTGTTAAATGCAGGTGCCAACATTAGAGAAACAGACAAAGAAGGCAACAATATTTTCCATTTATTGGCCCAATTCGAACGACTAAACATGTTGCAAATTGTATTGAAACATTGCAAACTTTATAATTTGTTAGACTGCGCTGATAGGTATAACTATAACGGTACGTGAAGGTGATTCACAAATTAATAACCTTATTGAAAATAGCCCAACTTTTCTGGGGTCATTCTTATGTTTTAAAATTTTAAAATGTTATCTTATTTATTCTTCCGTTTCAGGACTTACACCTCTAATGATCTGCTGCATGTCGAGTTGGACCCTCGGAGCCAGACATTTCATCAAAGCCGGAGTAAAAGTGAACTTGCAAGATCAGTCTTCTGGGAGAACTGCCCTGTTCCACGCTTCAGAAATTCAAAATTGTAATGTGAATGTGATTTCCATCACTAGTAATTTGTCTTGATTATTTTGCCGACAACAATAATTATGTTCATTGTTGAATTGATTGATGATTGTGTTATTTTTTTTTTGCAGCTGAATTAGTAAAAATTCTCTTAGAAGCTAGGGCGGATCCGAAAATTAAAAACTTCTTTGGTACAAGTCCACACGACGCCATGTACGAACTAGACGACATTGACGAGGGCATTAAAGGTTTAATATTTGGCAAAACTAAAAAACGGAGTCACGGTAAGTTCGGAATTAATTTTTTTTTTTTCTAGATCCCGGTATTAATTTATTGCTTTTTTTTTCCTATATTAGATGCAGAATTGAACCCATCAAGGACCGCAAGAGCTGTCAAAGGTCTGCATACCTTTTCAAAGCTACAGAAACTCGATACCCAAACGATTAATGTGGAGACTGTATCGGCTAAGGCCGACGCTAAAGCCAAGCATAAGATAATACAGCACGCCATGAAGCATCATATAAAAAGGATGTAGGGTAGGTAAGTCCTTTTTCCGAATAATATACAGGGTGATTCCAAAATGGCGTATAAGCAGGTAATTGCCACACATACTGACATAATTGTCAATGTATCAAAACCAGTAAAACATTTCCTTCTTCTTTTGGTGCTGTGCCTGTCTTCAGGCATGGGCTATCTCGATGACAATCTGGTTGAATTGCTCTCTATCTGTCCCTACTCTGAATAGGTGTTCCACTACCAGTTTGGTCCAATTTTTATTGTTTCGTAGCCATGATAGTTTTTGGAGACCTTTCCATCTCCTGCCCTCAACCTTTCCCTGGATGATCAGGCGAGGGATGTGATATTTGATGTCTCGCATCATATGTCCGAAATAACTAACCTTTCTTATTTTTATGGTGTTCCGAAGTTCTCGGTCCTTATTCAGCAGTCTTAGTACCTCTTCATTGCTGGTATGTGCGGTCCAAGGGATTTTGAGGATTCTCCGATAGTACCATATTTCCAACGCTTCTATTTTGTTCATGGTGTCAGCTTTAAGCGTCCATGTCTCACATCTGTACAAGAGAATGCTCCATACGTAACAGCTGAGTGTTCTTAACCGCGTCTGGACTGTGAGGTTTCTATTGGTGAGAGTCGGTTTCCATTTATTAAAAGCCCTCCGTGCCATTCCAATCCTTGCTTTCACCTCTTCGTTGCATGTAGCTTCACTGTTTAGCCAGCTGCCCAAGTATTTGAAATGTGGAACTAGTTCAATGTTATGTCCGTTAATTGTAATCAGATGGTTCGATGATTATTTTACCTACGGTCATCCATTTCGTTTTCTTAATGTACCCCATCTTTGGCTAGCCTCATGTACTCTATCCAGCAGTATTTGCAAGTCTTCCATGTTCCCCGCAATGATGGCAGTGTCATCTGCGTATCTTAAGCTGTTTATTATTTCGCCTCCTATCTTTACTCCCTCTGCCCTGTCATGTAAAGTCTCATGAAATATGTTCTCTGAATAGAGGTTGAACAACAGGGGTGACAGAACACATCCTTGTTTTACGTCACTTTTTATTGGTATTTCATCATCTGTAACGCTGTCAGCCAGCTTGACTACAGCTATTTGACTATGATACAGGTTTATCAAAATGCATATCATAATAGTCTAAGTTATATGATTTTAGACATTGAAAAAGTTTGGTTTAGTCCAAATTGTTCCCTGCCAATATTGTGTTCACATTTGGTGTATGTCCTATTGAGAAGTATCTTTAGGAGTATTTTTAAAGTGAGACTCATTAGGCTGATTAGTCGGAAGTCATTACATCTATTACCTTTTTTTTGGGTAAGGCGATAAAGATCAATTTCTGCCAGTCATCGGGAAGTTTCCCAGTTTGGTAAACCTGGTTGAAGAATGCCGTTAGAATAGATATGCCTTCGTCATCGAGTAGTTTTATTATATAGCAATTTCATCGGCTCCTGAAGTTTTTCTTGCTTTTGACTGGTGTATTGCCTTTTGAACTTCGGATTTGAGAATGCTTGGACTATGCTCTGTCATATAATCAGTCAATAGATTCTCTGGTGTTTCGTGAGTCTCGTTCTCTAACAGTTGTTGAATATACTGCTGCCATTCATTACTCTGTTCTTCCTTTGTTTACAGTGCTTATTCACCATTGTTATACATCACTGTTGTGGTTTTCTTTCTTTTTGTATATGCCAGAGAGTTCTTTTATCTTTTTATGTAAGTTAAAGTCATTGTGCATGGTTTCAAGCTGTTCTATTTCTATGCAGGATTTCCGGAGCCACACTTTTTTGCTTTCCTAATTTTTTTGCGTATTATCCAATGTATATTCTCTTGTACTCACTATGATTGTTGTTTTTGTCTCTCCTCCATAAGGTTCAACATGTCCTACGTCATTCATTCTTTTTTGCATCTTTTCCCCTTTAATTTTACCGGCTGCTGAACTCTTCCATTTCTCAAAGCAGTTTTGAGATTTCGCCTATTTTCTTCGACGCTTTCGTTATCAAGGGGAAGTGGTATATGTAGTTAGTTGTATGTATATTACCATTTATTTTCTTGATTAGTCCTTCAATGGTTTCGGGGTCCTTTAGTATATTGTTTTTGTGTTTTTGAGGTCTTCGATGGTTGTTTTTTTTTTTTTGTAATTTTACGCCTAGTACGGAGCAGAGCAAGTTATGATCAGAGTGCACGTCAGCTCCAGGATAGGTTTTCGTTGACTTATTGCAATACCGGAATCGCCGGTTGATCAGGATGAAGTCGATCTGATTTCTTACAATGTTGTTCTGTATGTGTTGGGGGGACGTCCATGTGTACAGTATCCTGTATGGAAGATTGTACCACATATTTGTAATCACAAATTCTTCTTCTGTTGTTTCTCTGCCCACTTTTGCATTCTAATCTCCCATAATTATAGTGATTTCGTGTTTTTTTGTCGCCTTCACTATGTCTTTAATTTGTTGGTAGAACTCTTCGACTTCGTCATCATCATGGTCAGTAGTAGGGGCCTAGACCTGAATAATGTTCACATTTACAGGTCTCATCACCAGCTGTAGTAGCATTACTCGATCAACATTTTACATACCTGCAAAAATCGGAAGTAAATTCTTAATAAATCACAGTTTCTTGTTACTAACAAAGCTACTGAAAATGATTACTTATCGGAAAATAAAATAAATAAAAAGGCGAGACAACGTTTCACAAGAATTGAACATCAAGAGAAAGTGAGCAATTATACCACATACTATAACTTACATAATAATATGTACTTACAATTTTGTGGTGACTTAGAATAGCTAGCAGCTGTTCTTTTAGTGGAAAATTGATAGTTCTGACATGTTGTCCCTTGTTTTTCCAATAATTATTTCCATTTGTGTTGATTCATATATATTTTTCTTTTGAAATTTTAGGCCTAAATTGAACTGATTATGCAAATTACCATCTATAATTCACATTAATCATCGGAATGGGTATTAAGTCTCAAGGAGGAAGGATCATGATTTCCCTTAGGATACAGAAAAAAAAAACAGAAATGATTTAGGGTGAATCTGTTTGCGACTTTTGACTTAGTGTTAAGGATTAACTTGAATATTTATTTTATTAAACAATGGTATTTCTTATTATATTCAGAATTTATTATGTACATACGTTTATTGTTAAAGTAAGATCCAATATTAATGTTAAGTACCGTTCTAGAATTTATTTTATTATTTGCTACCAATTTTTGGGTTTATCAAAAGTGAACGACTTTTGGTATCCCTTTTTCCAGGTGCTAAATCCCGCAACAATCTGAATTATTTATTCGTTACGTCATTTTTGTTTAGGTAATTATTTTTAATGCAATGGCATCCAATATAACCAAAATCATCAGTTTATTTGTGATTCACCAAATAAAAACCTATGCTCTGGTAATTTTATACAGACCAGATCAATCTACTAGACATATAGGGATTAAGAAAACGAATTAGCTTATTTGCCAACAAAATGCAGTTAAACAAGTATCTATTAAATATTTCAGGTTATCAGTGGTTTAATTAAAACACGATAGATACGTTTTAAGGCACGATAATATATTTCAATGTTTCGTCTTAAAACATAACAGAACGACTAACTTAACTTTAGCTTTTATATTTCATCTTCACACCCTAAACCTTTTCGGGGTGTGGGAAAAATACATTTACAACGCAAAAAGTAATACCCAAGTACAATAAATAAATAAGGCAATAAATACCAACCTTTTGGGTTTATTGCTCTTTGTCAATTCTCAGGTCGATTCCTGGTAAGGTAGATTTGTTTTTGTATATTATATTATCCTTTCGGATACTTATTTCAACAAGAATATCATAAATCGAGTCATAAATATTCAATAACTATTTTTCTTTGTTGCCCTATTTTCTCAATTTTTCCCTAGTTTTCTCTGTTTTGGGCTAACTTTTCATTTCCCTTCTCAATTTTTTCAGCTGAATTTTTGTTTTATTCTAAATTACTTCAAATAAAGAAAATACTAAGAATAGAGTGAATACACTAGCCTGGAATAGGAAAACTATATCCATTCTTATCTAAAATCTAGTTTCTGGAATTTGATTTTCAAGAATTTTTCGTGTTGATGTCTTTCACTGAATCAATGAATGAAATATCACTTAAATAAGCCTCCATTCTTCCTCTTTTCATACAGAAAATTTCAAAGTTATTGTTGCAACAGTTTTCCAGAAAAACTGTGAAATGTGTAATACTGTATTCTCAATTAATTCAGTTATTATTAGTTGATTTTCAATATTCTGCATGTTGTTATTTTCCACTGAAAAAATTTAAAATTTTCTTTTTCTCACATTTCAAAGTTTTCCTGGAAAACTAGTGAAAGGAAAATTTTGAAACTTTTCGTATGTAAAGAAGAAGTTCAGAGGCTCATTTTCCCGTAATTTCAATTTTTTCCAGGAAAACTTTGAAATGTGTCAGACGATATTTTTAACTAAGTAATTTAGCTTTTGTAAGTTGATCTTCAAGATTCTTCATGTTATTTTCCGCTGGAACAATTTAAAATTTTGGGAAAATGAGCTTCTCACCTTCCTCTTCACATGCTAAAAATTTCAAAATTTTCCCTTTACTAGTTTTCAACAAAAACTTTGAAATGTGTAAGACTGTATTTTCAATTAATTCAGTTATTGTAGGTTGATTTCCAAGATTCTTCAGTTTGTTCTTTTTCACTGGAAAAATTTGAAATATTGTGAAAATGAGTCTCTGACCTTCCTTTTCACATATAAAAAGTTTCAAAATTTTCCCTTTATTAGTTTTCCAAGAAAACTTTGAATTATGTGAGACTGTATTAACAATTGTTTCAGTTTTTTAAGTTGATTTCCAAGATTGTTCATGTTGTTATTTTCCACTGGAAAAAATTGAAATTTTGGGAAAATGAGCTTCTCCTCTTACTCTTTACATGCAAAAAGTTTCAAAATTTTTCCTTCACTAGTTTTCCAGGAAAACATGGAATTGTGTGAGACAGTATTCTTGATTAATTCAGTTATTGTAGGTTTTTCCTGGAAAACTAGCGAATGGAAAAATTTGAAACTCTTTGCATGTAAAGAGGAAGGTGAGAAACTCATTTTCCCAAAATTTTAAATTTTTCTAGTGGAAAATAACAACATGAAAAATCTTGGAAATCAACTTACAAAAATTAAAATAATTGTTTATACAGTCTCACACATTTTAAAGTTTTCCTGGAAAACTAATTGAGGGAAAATTTTGAAACTTTTTATATGTGAAGAGGAAGGTCAGAGGCTCATTTTCCCAAAATTTCAAATTTTTCCAGTGGAAAATAACAATATGAAGAATCTTGGAAATCAGCCTACAAAAACTCTACTCATTATTGTTTTGAATTTTTCAAATTTGAACCTGTAAATCATGAAGTGATATTTTGGGAGAATTTCTTTAATGAAAATGAATTTCCAACGTTCAACACAAAACTAGATTTTTTTTTTTTTAATTTCCATTTTTTAGTACCTATTTCTTATAATAAGAATGTGGCGTCATGACTTTACAATTTCCTTTAAATTCCTCCACATTTCCCATTTTCTACGAATTCCCCAAATTCTCATAAATTCCGATGAGTTCTCTCAAATTCCCCACAAATTCCTCTAAATTCCCACATTTTTGGCAAAGAATTCCTAGATGGTTTGCCCCTTGCCTACATTCCAGAAATGTAATGTATTCAGAGAAAGGGCTAATTACGTAAGGAAATGTGCACGCAAGGCTCTCGACACATTTCTTACAGTCCACTTCCATTCATCAGTTATTTAATTGATCCCAGAAAAGACATTAATAGTCGGAGAACGAGCAACGTCTAACGTGCAACCTCTATAAGACATCCCGAACAACCACCTAGAAAAAATGTTTTCTTATGTAAATTGACCTGGCGGATCCGATTTCGGAGTTCGCCAGTTGATCTGGAATTGCGAAACTAGTCAAAACCGGCATTTTCCAAAAAATATCCAATTTTATGGATTTCTCTAAATTTCTATTCAACTCGCTGTATCTCCCTTAGTTTTAGTCCGATTGAATTGAATTTTTTTCGAGAGCCAATTTAGACCTTTGTTTTTACGACTGACATAACAGAAATGCAGGAAAAAAATTACGAGTTACCATAATATATTCTTCTCAAGTTAGTGACACGAAAATTGTTAAAATTGCAGCCAGAAATACTCGATCGAGAAAACTTTTGTGTTTTTGAAGATAGATATATATAGTAAGCGACAAAATTGTAGCCAAAGAACCAAAGAAGTTTTTTTATTCTTGTGATTTTTTTGATAACTTACTTACGTTTTCGAGAAAACGGATCCCCAATATAGAAAAAAAACTAACGCGACCGCGGCAAGTCAGGCCACGTATAGGTACTGGACTACTTACTGCACAAGCGGTCCCAAGCGTATTGTAGTTTTAGAGGGCAGCGATTTGTTTTGCACTAATAATAACCTATTCGATAATAATCGGGGGTTTATTTCAAAGTTCATTTGGTGAATTTTAATTTTGGAAAAGGAAAAATATGTAAAATAAGGTTTTAAATTTTGATAAAGGTAATTGACAACAATAGTGGTTTAAATCGATTCCATTCAAATATCATTCATGTTGTTATTTTTGTCCAGTGTTCACATCTTTGTTCCTGATTCAGCTCCTACTCTAATTAATTTTTAGATTGGGTAATGACAACAATAAATAACATTGAATGTTCTGATGTTAACTTAGTAACAGAGGAGACTGAAAACGGTATTTGAGGGAAAAACGTTTGGATATGGTAGAGCTATCGTATGCTAATAACTGTAGTTTAAAAAAAAAAAAAAAATAAGCCTTTAAGAAAACAAAGAATCTTTTGAAAATAACCCCACTGCTCTTTTCTGGCTGCAGTACATAAATATGATATGTATACTACAGTGGTATATAATTGCAGAACGTAGCGGAGATTAGAACCAGCATTTACTATCTGTAGAGAAAATGCTCCTTTTTAGGCTTTTTATGGTGTTTGCTGGACATTACAAATATGGTGTCATATATACCTGATTATTTACGTGATATAAAAAGTCTATGTATGTTTGTTCTAAGCCCATATCCGTCCAAACGCCGTTAAGCACCTCATTTTTTTAATTGAATGTTAAATTTTCCTTTTAGAAACGCTTCGTGTACTTCTGGAGCATAAATTTTTAGAATTTTCATATCACGTAAATAAATAATGAAATATACAGTATCCGCCAAAATGAACAGTACTGAACATACAAAGTTGAGCCTTTATTCCTTCTAAATTCGGAATCCGGAAATAGTGCTCTGCTAAGAATACTGTTTCTTAAGTTGAAAAAATTCTTCTGATTAACATATGATAGCTATACCATATCCAAGCGTTTTTCCCTCAAATACCGTCTTAAGTTTTCATTCTCCTCTGATACTAAGTTAACATCAGAACACTCAATGTTATTTGTTGTCATTACTCAATCGATTAGGTATTATTGAATAGGTTATTATTGGATATTAACCCTGCCCTCTGAAACTGCAAACGAATACGCATGGCGACCGCTTCTGCAGCGCCCGCGGGGCCGGAATAGTTTTCTTCTATATCGGGGATCCGTTTGCTTAAAAACTAAGTAAGTTATCAAAAAAATCACAAGAATAAAAAAACTTCTTTGGTTCTTTGGCTACAACCTTGTCGCTTACTATATACATCTATCTTCAAAAACAAAAAAGTTTTCTCGATCGAGTATTTCTGGCTGCAATTTTAACAATTTTCGTGTCATTAACTTTAAAAAAATATATTATGGTGACTCATAATTTTTTTCTGCATTTCTGTTATGTCAGTCATGATAGCAAAGGTCTGAATTGGCTCTATAAAAAATTTCAATTCAATCGGACTAAAACTAAGGGAGATTGAATAAAAATTTAGAAAAATCCATAAAACTGGTAATTTTTTGGAAAATGCCGGTTTTGACCAGTTTCGCAATTCCAGATCGACTGGCGAACTCCAAAATCGGATCCGCCAGGTCAATTTACATAAGAAAACATTTT